TGTTCAAATTTGTGCGATTTGGCGTGGAATGGCCCATGTATATATTTCAGAAAATTAGTTGCGTATCTGTTTTTCAGATATCACTTTTATTCGATCAGTCCTGGCTGAACCCGACGGCTGTGAAGATAGAGCTTTAGCGATGCGTAAGGCTTTATTAAACATCTTTTTTTGAACTGTAATTTTACATAATCTATATTTTATAAATTTAGAATCATTGAACTCGGATTCCCTAAACAATTCTTTGAAGCTACTTCGTGAAAAACATCTGATTGAGGGCTCAAACATTCGTTTAAGTAATGTGGAGAATGCGCAGAACTTTTTCTCTACTCTTCGCCATCTATTAAATAATGTCAACTAGTATCTAAGCTGGTAGTATAGGTTAATGAGTAGCCTAGATCAAATTGTTGCTTCTCATATTTTGTTATCCTATTTTCTCGTCTCCATTTTGATATTAGTTTAATTGAAGAGTAGGCTTTATTTTACGGTGATTTCTTTTAAGTACTTTCCTGATGACAGTTGAATTGTTTTAAATCACAGTTTCTCTACACTGCGTAATTTGGCATAGTTTCAGCGTGGTACACAAATGTTAATGCATAGTGTATCAAGTGCTACCGTGAGTTACTATTTTTTTAAACGTTCACCAAATCCTAGTGTGCTAACCGTCGGGATCTGGAATAAACTTAATGATCAACAGGCCTTTGTACGCCTGATTCTATCCAAAAATGTACAAACAGATAAAGTAGCGAAGATTGTTATCAAAAGGATTATTGTATTGACAGCAGCAACAAGGACGACTAGTTCTCTGCTGATATGATGTATGGTTGGAGTATTATTTCGAGGTCCTAAAAATGAATGCTTTAGTTGTCAATTTTTTTTTGAGTAGGTCTTGAAAACATGTTTTGGAAATTTAGGAGAATTGAGAACCATCAGATGCTTGAGGTTTCACAGTATTTGGCAGTCGTCTGTTCTGAACCGTATTTTCATCGTCACTGAACATTTCTACTTGAATGGTATCAAAAATTTCTATTCGTCTTGTGTCGCTGCTGTTCACAGTCCTCCTTGTTCTTGTTCCATTTGCTGTTCCGTTTGAACATATTTCCTAAAATTCGGATAGCCAAAACAATCACTATGAATATGAAGAATTTGGCGAATAGAAATGAGTACTCCAGTCACTTTCATGGGGAACGTACAGAACTTACAGGGAAGTTAGCAGTTGTTGAGATATCCACAGAACATGAAAAGTAAACGTCATCTGGCCCAGGAAATTTGAATGCATTGACGAAGAAGTAGTAAAGCATCTGGTCGCCGCTTTTGATCCTTACCATCGGACTGGCGAGACGATTTCGTGTAACGCAACTAAAGTTTATTGGTAAGATAGTATGCAGTGTCGGTTTTTTTTTCAGGTGGGGCTTTCTGCTGTATTGCTTCTACGGGATGTAGTTCGCTGTGACAGGAAATTGGCGCTAATGATCTAACTCGTGCTGACAAAAAAGATTTTTTGAAGTAGCAGTGTACGCTTTATAAATGAAATGTGTTCACACTTACCCTGCACTGTCAATAAGCTGTATTTTTGTTGATCCTGGACCATCTGCTGCTGAGCAGGAGTGTACAAAAATGTTATATTTGTCTTTGTCTAAAACATAAAAGTCAATTCTTTTTAGTGCTAAACAATTGCGTATTTAGGAATTAGGCTAGACTTTTGTGTTCATTCTATCAAACCTGCCTTTTACGTGCTTCTATTCGGGGACAAAAATATACCAGCTCATAAGATAAGGCTCTGCAAGTTTAAGATTGATATGTAGGTGGCGTCATTTGTTTGAATTTGGTAAGCCCAGAAAGCTCGCATAACATTATGAAAGCACAGAAGGAGTTGTGCAAGTGTCAAAAATACTTCATTATCAATAGATTTGCTCAAACTGGTAGCTCAGCAACTATTCTTTTCAGTGAATGCAAAACAGATTATCATCACTGAAATTTATTTTTTTTTTATTTTTTTATTTTTTTTTTTTTTTGAAATTAGGTATACGCCTAATGTAGTATAAAATGCATGGGAGGTCGAATTGACGATACTTTCTTGAGTGGAGATAAAAGGACGTTGCTTTTTTTGTCTACCTCTTTGTTTCACATTCGACTTTTCGAATGGTTTTACGCTGTCTTCTCCCACATTTCGAAAGTGTTCAGGAAATGACCAGAAGATTTACAAACCATTTTGAAAGTTCCCGAAACTTTTGTATGAATAATTCGTGATACTTCTCGTTATACTCAGAAATAATACAAAGCCATCTATCTTCCTCTGCTACTAAATATTCACCTAAATGTGGATTTTTTGCTCGCACGACTAAAGAAATTTTTTCTCCAACTTGTATAGGTCCAGAGATCGGTGTTGCAAACGGCCCTTCTCCTCTCTGGATTTCCAAATATATGTCATCTGACAATTTATTTAGGGCCACTTCAGTCCCCACAACTTCAGTCGGCTTTGGTGTGTGAGTTCTAAAAATTGAAATATTGAGGGAATTGAGGATTCCGGCTTGTGTCCAATATTAAAATATTCCTGTCAACGTAGATCAAAAACTAACAGATTGCTTTATACAGGACTAAATTTCACTGTGTAAATCCAAAGAAACGACCTCTAATTTTTTTGGAATTGCTGGGGAAAAAATTACCTCACAAGAAGCTTCATTATGCGGATGGACGAAGCTTTCGATGAGTATGACTCGGGAGTCTTAGTAGAAATTTGCGTCGGGAAAGGGTGTGTAACCGGCGTAATCGGTTCTAGAAACCGTGAAGGCCGCCTCTCTTTAAATCTTTCTTGTCCTGGGTTTCGAGCACCTGCCTTGATTTCGGCAGCATTGAGTCCTATTAAATTTTTTTTGTTGCTTCCTTAATTTGAAGCCAGAATTACTAGAAAAATTTAGAAGCTACATATAAGTTGATGAGGGATTAAGAACGTCTCTTTCGAGGCAAGAGATTCTAATTAAAGCTTGGTTAAAGGTATAAATAATTCCTGCAAACTTTTAAATAATGGAAAATAGGCTGAGGTTGGTAGAATTTAGGAGAGTTTAAATAAAAAAAGAGAATTTGAAGAAAAATAGTTTTGTAAAAATTCCTTTTTTAATTTTTGGACATGTCACTAAATTCGAAGGGAATGTACAATCACTACGGCACTGGCCCACACGCTTCAAAATTTGGTCATCACCAGTACCTTTCACGTGTTTATAGAGCAACATTTTTTCTATACTTCCCTCCCAATTCTTTTTTAGTAGTTTTACTGAATCCTCCTTAAATCAACACTGCCAATTTCCTGTGGTTGTAATCTGAGACTCTTGATTTTTTATACTCGTCAAAATTTATTGATAATTACCGTTTGAGACAGGAACAATTCTTCCATTTTCACCTTCCACATAGCAGCAGAAAGTTCGAGCGTTAACTGGTTTCAGTTCTCGTATTGAAGTCTCTGCTTTTTTTGTTAAGAGTTCTGTAGAAAGAGCAGGCTTAATACTTTGCGGGTCGTTTGATCTTCTTCTCGGAACTGGTATTGGCCAATTACCCCAATTATTTTCGGCAATCCTCTGGAGTTCTAACACTGACTCATCAATGTGAGAATCGTGTAAAACGTTGTTCACTTGTACGTCATTCGTAAATTTCGGTGGTGCCTTGAATAACAAAGTTTTAAAATACACTCTTACTTAACAAAATCAATTTGCTTAGACAACAGCATAAAATACTTCTACTACTCAATGCTACAAAAACACTGGTGTGCAAATTATTTGAAAGATCTGTAAACAGCTTTAAAATTTATTAGAATAATAATAATCTTGCTATAGGTCTTGATTCTGAAAAATTAGACTTCTGAAACAAGCTAATTCATCGCTATGCAGATATCCCTGTCAAAGGACTGTGATAAGAAGCGGTGAACTTGTGTTGGACATCCCCTCGCCAGTAACGAGGAAAATGAACCAGGAAGAGGAATATGGAAAAAACTAAACAGGGAGGACTATCAACTTCCTACAAAGATGAAATTGCAAGAGAACCCGAAAAGGGAAACACAACAGGCAGAAGTCGACGGCTTCATCTACACTGCAAAGTTGGAAAACTTTTTTTTGCTTATTTTTCTACTTTCCGACAAGTTAAAAATTTCTGTTATTGAAAGCACATAAAAGAAGTAGCCGAGAAAAAGGCTCGCTGTGGAAACCGCTTTTGGGTAATGGTCTACAGCTTTTTGAAAACAATTTAGAATTGTTGTTTAAATGCAGTATCGCATCAGAAGATTTATATTCACAATTTTTAAGATTCTTTGCATGCCATTTTTTCTTTGAAACAGTTCGCGCTGTTTAGAACTACTTTGTAAAAACTGAATGAAGGTTTGCAATTCTGAAATTCGTATATTAACTGAAGTATAGCTGCGTCGTTACTTTAGCTCAAAAATTTTGTTAGACTAAGGAATTTTTTGCATATTTGATTTGACTGATAAGTCAGGTTGATGGCAACTTGAGGTGTTCTTTGCTATTTTGCCAGGTAGAGCCAAATCTCTGACGGCAACTTCTGCATAAAGTTATTCTACGTTGCCGAAACATACGGCAGTGTTAAAAAAA